GAGTTCGAGACCTGCCTGGGCAACTTGGTGAGACCTCATCTCTACAGTAAATTAAAAAAAATTAGTCGGGCGTGGTAGCGTGTGCCTGTAGTTCCAGCTACTTGGAAGGCTGAGGTGGAAGGATTGCCAGAGCCCAGCAGGTCGAGGCTGCGGTGGCCGGGAGCACGCCACTGCACTCTAGTCTGGGCGACGGAGTGAGACGCCAATTCAAAAAAATAAAAATAAAAATAAAGTGATAGGATGAGCTCTAAAGCATCCTTGACTTTGACATCTTAGGGTTTTAAAAATTTGTGATTTCAAGATTTTAAAACTTAGTGATTCTCAAACTCTATATATTTGATTCTGAGATTCTATTTAACGTTCTAAAATTCCATGGTTCTCTGATCTTAATATACTTCTAAAACTTCAAGGATATGAGACATTCTATACATAGTATTTATAAAGTTAATTCAATATTAGCTTAATAGTCTAGGATTTTTCAATTCTAAGGTTTTGCTTAGGTTTTAAAATTAGTTAAAAATGGCAGTTTAAAATTGTTTAGTGAAAACGAAGATTTTATGATTTTCTAACATTTTGACTCTTAGATTCCTTTTTTTTTTTTTGAGTTGGAGTCTCACTCTGTCACCCAGACTGGAGTGCAGTGGCTGCTCCCGGCCACTGCAGCTTCGACCTGCTGGGCTCCGGCGATCCTTCCACGTCAGCCTTCCAATCCAAGTAGCTGGAACTACAGGTGCATGCTACCACGCCCGGCTAATTTTTGATTTATTGTAGAGACGAGGTCTCTCCAAGTTGCCCAGGTGGGTCTCGAACCCGTGGGCTCAGGCAATTCGCTCACCTCGGCCTCCCAAAGTGCTGGGATTACAGGCTGACCCACCGAGCCCGCCCTACTCTTAGATTCTTTAATTGAGGGCTATTAGAATTTAGAGGCTTAATTTTAAAAGATTCTAAAATTCTACAGTTCCTCTAAAGCTAGAATTTTAGAATCTTTCAATCTAATATTATAGAATTCTATAGTTCTAAGACGTGATTGTTGAGTCTTCTAAAATGATGCGGTTTGTTTCTAAATTTCTAAAATTCTACGGTTCCTCTAAAGCTAGAATTTTAGAATCTTTTGATCTAATATTGTAGAATTCTATAATTCTAAGACATGACTGTTGAGTCTTCTAAAATGATGCGGTTCTCGGTGTCTGTGGTGCTAGCCCAGTATTCTAAAGTGCCCCCCCTCCAAGAGCCTAAGATTCGAGTTTAGGTCTCTAGCAGAGTCTCGTAGAATCTCCGAAGAGACTGACATCACTTTGCCTTCCTAGCACGCGGGCCCAGGACAACCAGCTCTGTCCCGGATTCTCCTGGGACTGAGCAGGGCAGATGTGGATTTGGGGCTGGCTCCAGTCCCCGGCCCTGGAACGGAACTTGAAGACCAGCAGCCTTGATGGCTTCTCCAGAGGTCCTCCACCACGTCTGTGCTAGAGCGTCAGCGTCTCCTCATTCGCACCGAGGACGGGCACCTGGGCCCATGAGCTCTCTCTCACTGGCATGGGGACACTGACCGGTGTCATGAAGCGGTCAACATCAGGGGACGGGCCTTGAGGGAACAGGACACAGGACCAATGAGATATACTGAAGGGTGCGTAGCTGGCAGGCTCTTGCCTTGGAGTCGGGCTACAACATGTTTCTTCTACAGCCTTTTCTGTCCCTCCTATTTTGAAATATTGCCTGGAGCCAGTCCTTGCTAGAGGCCAATTTTCTCTCCCATCTCCTCGCAATTTATGATCCTTCCAGATTGCTGTCTTTGCTAGGTAATAGAGACAAGCAAACAAGGCCAGGGATCATCTTGGAACAAATAGAGAAGTCAAGGCCGTGCTCCCTCTCTAGCCAGGTTCCTCCTCTCACACTCCTTACATCTCTTGGAGAAAGTGCACCAGGCTTTACTCTATCAATTAAGAATGCATTTGGCTGCATGTAACAGACATGTAAGGACACCAGCTTGAATAAGCAAAGGGTGTATTTTTCATGAGTAACAAAAAATCCAGAGCAAAGCATTGCATTTGTAATCCAGGCAAGAAGAAGGTGGCAGGGTAAAAGGCCAAGAGCTTTCTCCTCAGGTCTTGTCTTTAGTTGGGAATGATGTTTCTCCCAAGGACTCATTGCCCAGAGCTGGGTCACACGGCCTCTTAGACCGAGAAGAAAGTTTGGGCAAGGATCTCAGCTAGCTGCATTGCTGCCTCAAATAAACTCAGGACCCTGTTGATAAGAAAGAAAGAAATGGAAAATGGATATTGAGAGGTGACCCGTTGCATCTGCCATACCAATTAAAACCTACATAATGAAGAAGAAAAAAATCTAGGTGTAAACAGGCTTCAGGCACATCTAGATCCAGTGGCTCAAATAATGTTGCCAGATATTGTGGTCACTCTATGTGGCTCCACTCCTCGTGGAAAAATGGCTTCCAGAAACTGCAAGCTGGCATTGTGTTAGTTTAGCAATCCCAGGAATTGAGAACACCCCTTGCCAAGGCTTCAGTGTCACATGTCCATTCCTGGAAAGTGCATTATGACTGGGGACAGGGCTTATGGTGAAAAAGATACTGACTGGCCAGGCTTGGGGTCTCTCCTTGGAAGCTTTGGAGCAGGATCAGACCCACCATAACCATATGGGCCGAGACCAGGTGACACCAGGCACCACACGGGGACAGGGATACCGGGCAGGCAAAAAGACCCTGGTTTCCACCCTGGGAAGCGCCTGTGTTTTCTTCACTCCACGCAGACAGCAGCAACAGAAGTTGCTGGATCTTGAGCCCATCAGTCACAAAGTGTGGGTTCTATTCATCCGTTCATTCACCACACATTCCTGACTTTCCCCCGTGTGATTTGGAGACGGTCACGCCCCTTCTCAACAGCCTCCGTGTCCCATCTGGGAAAGGGGCAGACTCCCAGAATCCTATAATTGGTAGGATCCTACACTAGCAGGCTCTGGGGTCAGATGCCTTTATTTCATTCCAGGCTCTGCTTCTAGCAATCCTGTGACTGTGGGCAAGCCATGTCCCCGTGGGACCGAATTTCCATGGTCCCCGTAATCCCATGCACTCACAGGCTGTTAGGAGGATGCATGAGATTATGAACGGAAGGCACATATCGGGTGCCCGGCCCAGAGCTGGCAAGCCATACATGGTGACAATGATCACCACCAATGTCATCATCACTGTTAATATTATTACCTGTCTCTGGACCCTGCCCAGGACGCCCATAGAATCGCCAAGCATCCCAGTGATTAAAAACAAACCACCGAACACCAAAGCTCGGGGTCTACTCCTAGTCCCTCCCCCACGCACTCCCCTCCAGTGTTTGCCGGGGCTAAGAGAAGGGTCTCCCCCTTGCAGGAGCTTTGGGGATGGCGCACTGACCCTTTCTTTAAATTCATCTCCCTTCGTGTTCCCAGGGCCATCCCCGTTGGAAAAAATGACTCTCACAAAAGATCCCTCAGCAGCAATTATCTAAATGGGAGGCTGGGAGGAGAGAACCATTTAGAATCCACTTCATTGCGGGATAAGCTAATTAATTAACGGTTTCACTGACAACTCGTCGGAGAAGCGTGTTAAACAGGGGCACAGTGGGGCGTGATTTATAGACTCTGACATCCCTGTCCCTGGCCTCTCCACCCGGGCTCCCTCCTTCCCACCCACCCAGGCCAGGGAGACCCGTGGGGGACCCTCTCTCTCAAGCTCCCCCTGGAGTCCGGGGGCTGGGCTCTGGCCCAGGGGGCCCACGTGGAGATGACAGAAGGGCGACCGTGGAGGCGGGCGGAGGGCTGGGGAGACAGGGGACAATGAAGAGGTAACTAGGCAGCCGAGTCTCTGGGGGTGGCTGCATCTGTCCCCTCACCCCCAGCCCTGAGCCACTCCATCTGTGCCTTCCCGGCACGCGGGGCCCTGCAGGCACCTGCTGGTCACGGCTGCTCCCTGGTGCCTGGAGTTCAGGGCTTTTCAGAGCCCCGCCCACCCTCTGAGAGCACCGTTCAGGGAGCCCAGAGGAGTGGCCTTTTAGAGGACTTTGATGCCCTCAGGGATGAAGGGAGGATGTCAAAGCAGGGTGAGCAGGGGAGAAGAAGTCGGAAGCAAGGAGGACGGAGAGTCATTGGCTGGGACATCCCGGACCAAGGCTTCCCAAAACTCGCCCCACGGAGCAGCAGCGATGGCGTGTGCAGGGCAGACGTGCGACCCAGATGCAGTTCATGGCCACCCAGTATCAGACCCTGGTGTGGGGGCCGGGCGTGTGACGCTGAACACCTCAATCCTGAATGCCATGGGCGTTAAGAGCCTGAACCAGGAAGCTGGCCCACGTCGTGAACCCGCCGCAAAGATCCTGAGTTCTAGCTTTACGTTCCTTCTGACTGCTCTGAGGTCCTAACCTGGCCTTCTGGGGGTGCTGGGAGCCCCCTCAGGATGCAAGTAAAATGCTCTGTGTGCAGATAGACACGCACTTTTCTGGGGAAAGGATCTGCAGGCTCTGTAGGATCTTAAGGGGGTGCACGACCCCAGAAGTCAAGCATCTTCAGTGAGCGTCAGCGTCCTGTCCACAGGGCTAGAAGAATCCCCATCCTTCGCACCAAGGCAAATGTGAGCAGAACCCCCACCCAGTAGAGGGATCCCTGCCCTCTGGTAAAAGGCGTGCCACCCCCAAGGGGTCTTTTCAGCCCTCCCCAGATTTCCTCAGCACCCTCACACTGAACGGAGGGCCCCTCTCTTAGTTATCAGGGCTTGGGTCAGTGGGACCTGAGACAGCTGGAGCGGGCAGCCAGGGAGCTCCCTCTCCAAGGAAACGGAATTTATCCCGGGGCTGTGAAGGAAACCGCCTGCCAGGGGTGCCCAGGGACACAGGTAGAGGGACGGGAGGGGAGAAAAGGGGACGACGCCTGCCTGAGCCCGGGATCGAGGTTTCCGGCAGGGAAGGAAGGAGATTCATGTGTCCCCAGTTTATGGACGCGCAAACAGAGGCATTAGGAGATTTAAGCGTTAGAGATAGTACATAATGGAGCTCAATAAGTGTTTGCCATGTCTAAACATTCAGTAAATGTTTAAATATCATGAAATATATATTGTAAGATCAGGACAGTTCCCGGCACATAGGGCTCGAACACGTTATGCGTTGTGTACACGGAAGAGTCCGACGTACATTTCAGCTCACGTTGGCTCTCTAAGTAGATGGTATAATGCGCCTCCTGCAGAGAAGGAAAAACAGAGAGGGTATGAGACTCCTCTAAGGTTGCACGGCTAACCTCGCTGGCGGGGGCTGAGCGCTTCCCGCTGTGTGGAAGGACAGGCTGGGATGGTCCGAGCCTGGCCTCACTGGGCATGCCAGAAGCCCGAAGCTGGCACCGTGTGCCAAGCCGGACATCGTGCCACCTGCGGCGGGCCTCTCAGCGCCGCACCGGCGAGGCCCCTTCCCGTCTTGAGTTTCAGCTTCCTGGGACGGGCTGGAGGGCCAAACCCCCCTCTGGCTCTCAGGCGGGGAGGTGGGCTCGGAGGCCGACCGGGACCGGCTCCGGGTCACACCGCACGTCACCGGAGGGCGGGAGCAGAGCCTTGACCTCCCCTGCTCTCCGGCTCCGAGCGCCCCCGCCCCCGCCCGGAGTTCAAGGGCGCAGAGAGGACGGGAGGGGGTTAAACCCAACTCACACACGCCGTGCAGCCCCCCACCGCGGCCCGCC